AAACCATCACTTTTGGCTACTAAATTATTTTAGTTGCCAAAACTGTCACTTTTGGCTACTAAACAACCTTTAGTCACTTAACGCCACAATTGGGCGGACTAAACTGCCTTTTATTCGCTAAAAGCCTTGATTCGGCGACTAAACTCTTTAGTCGGCAAAAAGTCCCAATTTGGCGACTAAATCCATTTCAGTCGCCATTATTGTTAACTCTTTTCAGCGACGAAAAAATTTATTTTAGTCACGAATCTGTATTTTCTTGTAGTGAATACAACTGCTTTGATAAGTTTTGTCACTAAAATCATATTCAAAATCTAAAATTTAAGTTTGGAAGGCTTAAAGTTGGGAGGATAGAGATGAGCATGAAATAATACCATCGGAGTTATTAATAGGCAACACAGAAATCCTGTAGAGGTAGGTCTGAAAGCAGAGACAAGTGTGGAAGCCAACGCAATAATAGCTATGGTTACAAGGATAAAGTGAGTGCCCATTTTTATCACTCGGAAAACAACAAACAATAATTGCAGTAGCTGTTTTTTTTTTTTTTTGGAAGCAATTGGATATTCTATGCCTAATTGCTATGAGAAGGGACAGGATATTAGCTGGAAAACTGTCTTTTATGATATGTGGATGTGAGTAGTTTGATTTTTTATTATGTATTTTCAGCTAATGAGGAGAGAAATTCCAAAGTGTCATGGGTGCTAGTTCTTTCTCATTCGCATTTAATTCAATGTGAATGAACGTTTTCTGTTGGAAAAATGGTTTAATATACGCTATTTTTAGCCTTATTTAGTGGGCCCAAACAGTTTGGGGTGGTTCGAGGGTGCGTGTTCTTGCCGGTGGCAAGTCCACGTGAGACGGACGTCAAAACCATTTATGAGTAATGGGAAGTTGACGTCGTTTTAGAGTCTAACATTAAAAAAATTTTTTTTTTGAAAATAGATTAAATTCTTTTGAATTTTTTCAATAAAAATTATTGTGGGAATTTAATTTAATTCTAAATTCAAATTTTGGGTTCCTAAGTGGTTTCCTAAGGTTTGTAATTTTGGGAGTTTAATTTAATTCTTAATTCAAATTTTTAGTTCCTAAATGGTTTCCTAAAAAATTTGATTAAACTATTTAAATAGTTTAATAAAGTTATTTCATTCAAGTGATAGATTTTATTGAATTAACTATTCTAATAGTTTATTTATTAATGTTTCAAACAGTTTTTATAACTGTTGCACCTCAGAACCTTTTCAAATTGTTTGAAAATAAGCAACGGTCAGGTTTTCATTCAAATCTGTTCATTTGAATAAGGCACCTGTTGACTATTACAAACGGACACTTTGTTGCCTATAAATAGAAATTATATTCCAACAATCTTTACATGTTTTAGAGACATCGAGATATCAGTCTAAGAAAATTTCTTTTGCTGTCCAGATTTCTTTTAGTGCATTATTCTTCATTTATATTTTTAGGAATAAATAAAAGAGAGTATAGAACACAGGTTTGGTTCGCCGAACAAATTTATTTGAAGTGCTTCTATAAATTTGTGAAGATCATTGTATCCTGGGAGATAGACGCCATTCAACCGTAAGCACCGTAGCGGGGCGAATCTGTCTTAAGGACAGAGTGTCACACACTCGACTTGGTCTTAATTTTATTTGGGTTCGATAAATAAATCTGGTATGTTATTTATTTGTTTTGTTTGAATTTATTTCAAGTTTTTTTATATACACAGAAGATTGTTCCAACATCTTCAACAACTAAACCCTTTTCTAATATCTTTTTTCTTACTGCTTATTGAAATGCTTCTATTGACTTTTCTATTTCATCTTTTTTTTTAAATTTTTTATAATGGACAATTTCAACCACACCAGATATGCATAATCATCTGTAAATTATAAGTATCCGACTATTTTTGCATCTTGGGAAGACAGTATTCCACTATCTCTTGACTTGATTCATAAAGACACAATGCAAGCATGGGCAAACTTCTTGAAGAAAGAAAATTACTAGTCAAGCATAATTTCATCATTTAATTCTAAATTAAAGATTTTTAAATATTATCACCTGTTACCATTTTGTCTATGCCTATACATTATAAATTATAATTTGTCTCAATTTATTTAAATATTTCTTCAAGAAACAGAAAGATTGAAGTTTTACAATATTTGGATGCTCTTTAAGTGATTAGATTTAACAAGATAAAGATTACTTACATTCCTCAATTAAATTGTGTACATAGAGTAAGAAATAATAATTCATATATTCACTATACATAAATGCCTTTAAAATTAAAAAAAATTAAAAAATCAATTTTATAACACACGATAAATGTTTGAAAATAATATTTTGTTTATCTTTGTAAATTTTTTATTCATTACTTTTATATTTTTTATTGATAAAAAAACCAAATAGAAATTAATTTCGTAGGCAATACTTTTACGTTATGTTTGGTAAGAGAATTAACAATCTATGAGATTAGTATAAAATTAGTTATCGGGTTGAATTAGTGAGATAAATAATTCTCTCTTATTCATATTTGTTTGGACGAATTACACTAACGGTCCCTATAGTTTGGGACTTGTGTCACTTTGGTCCATAATTTTTTCATTGTGACACATTTGACCGTGAATTTTGAAACTTGTTTCAAATAAGGACAATTAGATACCATTGCTTAATTTCAAAGGCAAAATCGTCAATTTGATAAAAATATAAACTAATTTGACAAAACTAATTGTCAAAAAAATATTTTTAAATTTTTAAAAATTATTTTTATCCACTAAAGATAAAATTATGTAAAATTGAATCTTTTAGACATTTATTTATTTAGCAAATTAATTTTTATTATGTGTTTGGATGATGATCATGTAATAGGTGATTGTTTTTATTTTCATTAAATTTGTTTATATTTTTTCAAAAGTCAAATATGGCGACAATTTTGATATCATTATTAAACCAATCCATTAAATAAATAAAAAATCTAAAACTAAAAACATTTCATATATTAAATATATCAATTACACATTAAAATCATAAGAACCACTCATTACATGATTATCATCCAAACGCATTATAAAAATTAATTTGGTAAAATAAATAAATAAATAAATATAAGTCTAAAAGATTTATCAATTTTACATAATTTTATCTTTGGTGAATATAAATAATTTTTAAAAATTTAAAAATATTTTTTTGACATTTATTTTTGTCCAATTAATTTATATTTTATCAAATTGACGATTTTGCCCTTAAAATTAAGCAATGGTATATTCAATTTCCTTAGTTAGATCAGGATTCAAAATTAATGGTCAAATTTGTTACAACTGAAAAGTGAAACACCCAAACTATAAGGTTAATGTAATTCATTTTATTTGTTTTGTAATAGAACAAAAAATTAAAATATCTAACCGAATCTAATTTAAATTATAAAAATTAAAATTAAATAATAAAATATGAGTCTCGTAAAATAATTATTTTAATTATATATTACAATCTGTCTAATCAAATGGCTGTTAAGCTATAGTATTGAATTCATCGTTAAATTCCAAAGGAGTTGACTGTTCATCAAGGAAAGCAAATTAGACTTTCTATGCCTACGTGCTTGAAATAAGTTGACAAAGCAAGCATGGCATACGTGTCTATATCTCAGTATAATATAGGGGGAGTTATCGATAAATTCTATAGGTTAGAAGTATGTTTTAATTAGTCTTATAATTTTTTCTTATTTATTTAATCTTTTTAGATGTGTAATAATTCATTTGTCATTATAATCTCCTTAATTGTTGTTGTTTGTTAGAGTATTAAGTTTGGAATGTTACGTTTGAGAAATGTACATTAAAGAGTTTTTTAGTGTATTACAATAGAATGTTACGTTTGAAATTGTATTGAACTGTTACATTTAGAAAAAGTATAATAAAATTTTTTTTTTGAAGTGTCACGTTATGGAAACGTGATCCAAAAATTAGATCCAACTTTCCTAAGATGACATCCCCCAATGAAAAAGGGTAGAAACGTCGATCAAATCATACCAAAGTTCAAAATAGGATCTCACAATATAATTATCAAAATAAACAGTACCTATCAATGTATTAGAAAATCTATGGGATTGATTAAAGTAACTGATCCCCATATGAGACTTTTTGACCATTTTCCCTATAATATATAATTAAGAGTGACTGAGAATCTCACCATCTACGAGGTTACAACTCGTTCTAGCTCCAAACTCCTCTTTATTGATGTTTTCCATTGTACTCTGTGCTTCATCAATAAAATTTTTTTTGTCAATCAAAAAAAAAAAAAAAGAAGAGTGATTGAGAGATCGTCTACTATTTTCAATACAAGGCTTATAATTAATGTCTTTTTACCCAGTCTTCTCTTTAGTTAGCTTATTGTCTAACTCCATCATGAATGGTTCTTCAACTGCACCATTCATTTTTTATTAGACAAATTATAATAATTTTTGAGTTTGCAAAAAGCTAACAATATAACGTTTGGGTGGTAGGAGTCTCTCCATTAATAATCAATTAGTTTTGACTTCAAGTATTTTAATAAGGCCCAAATCCATAACACTACAAGAAAAGTGGGCAAATAACACGGAATTTTTTGCGATGGCATGTATACCGTCGCAAAAAGTGGTCTTTTGCGACGGCATATGAAGTCGTCTCAAATAATGTTTTCTGCGACGGCAATTTCCCCGTCGCTAATAAGCACAGATAAAAAGTCACTTAGACACGGAAGTATTAGCGACGGCACTGTGTACCGTCGCAAAACATATTTTTTTGAGACGGGTGAAATTTACCATCACAAATAGTGGATATTTGTGACGGGAATACTCTGTCGCAAAAAAAAATCCTTAATAAAACGGCGTCGTTTTATAAATGGATTTGATCATTTGTGACGGTTTTGCCATGTCGTCGCAAATAGTCTGAAATTTCATCTCCCTCCTTCAGCCGAAATGGCGCTCGATCAAATTCCCTAAAATCCCCAAAATCCCTAACACCATTCTCCCTCAAAATCCCCCAAAGTCCCTAAATCCCCAGAGACGAGTTCGACGACGATCTCTCTCCGTCTCTCGACGAGCGACGACGGTGACGGCTAGCGGTGTTCGAGTTCACCGACGATCACAGCGACGACGGCGAGTGTTCACCAACGATATCTCTCTCGACGAGCGAAGACGGCTAGCGGTGGTGCGGCGACGGCGTGTTACGATCTCTCTCTCTCTGAGCTCAGTCCGTACGTATGCTCTCTCTCTCTCTCTCTTTCGGAAGCCCACAGTAATTTATTTTCGTTGAAAGTAAGGCTAAGTTTGGATGGGAATGAAATGGATTCGAATCAAGTTTCTGTTTGGAAATGTACCAATAATAATTTAGGTCAGTGTACAGAGGGAGGGAGATAGACCGTGGAAGAGAACAAAATGGAATCGAGAGAACGAGAGAGAGAGTTGAGAGCAGAAAAATGCAACTTTTTTTCTTTTTTTTTTTTCCGGTTTATTCTCTATATTTGGGACTTTTGTTCATCAGTTAATGAGAAAAAAAACTAGCTGGAAATGAAGTTAAAAAAAAATAAAAAAATAAATCTTTTGAATTTTCAATCCTCTGTGCCGTGAATTTTAACTTTATAATTATTACTTAATTTTGGCAGTGGGAGGATTTAAGACTTGATTTCCTGTTTGAATAGAAGGGCAATAATGCCAGAAGGAAGGGGGTGGGCTGTTGCTTTGCTACTGCAGAATATGAGGTGGAAATATTGTTTAAATAATTTAAATTTTACTACTTTATTTTTTTAACAAAATTTTAAGATTTGGAATTATTTTATATATTTAAACTATTCTTACATATTTTCATATATCAACTATTAATGTTTTCTTGTATTAATAATATAATATATAATATGACATTTAGCCTCTTTTAAACTCTTATTTCCAATTTGGAACTTGGAAGTGGCATTGGATCAACGGTAAAAATTTGAAGATAATTTGTGTTCAAGTTACTTCAAAAGATTATTGAAAGGTTGCTTGGTTTTAATTTTATGATTTTAAAATTAAATAAAATGTAATCTGAACAGCAAATCATTAAAATATATATATATATATATATGACACATGATGTATATTACTTTAATAACTTCAAGATGTTAAAAGTAGAACAACAATATGTGCAGCTGTTGCCAAGTTTTACAAGTTAAATCCAAAATATTGACAGCTTTGGTGTGTTACAGCTGTACCATTAAGTAACAAAACATCAGAATTGTTAAGTTTTTATTAATTAGGTCAAAGTCAAGTTCTGATAAATTTCAAAGAATCACCAACTCAACTACTGAGTTATATTCAGAACATCAAAGAACCACAAATACTCACAAGCACTGGGTGCTACGGGCACAGTGTTCTATTTTGATAATTTAAATTATTGATATTTTAAAATATATTAAGTAAAATATATTTATAAAAAATTAAGTTATTTGAATATCGTTAACTCTTTCAAAAAATCGTTCATATTTTGTAAGCATGTTTTACTTTGTTAGTATATATTAGTATATATATTAGCTGTCAAACCTTTAATAATGTACCTTTAATGATGTTGGTTGGTTTGTGCCTATCCTCCTTGAGTTTGAGGGGGGCTGTTAGTGTATTAGTGTTAGTGTAATATATAGCTGTCATACTAATGATGTTGTATCTTTATGCTTTCGGTGGGTTAACATCCAATGTACCATATTTACTCTCTATAAATGAGAGTGTTGTAAGACACAACATATATCAATCATAATACATACAATTTATTCTCTCTCTATCAATTTATCTTACTTGGTATCAGAGCTATAGGTTAAGCTCTTGGTGCTCTTCGCCTTCTGGCGGGCGGCAACCTTGCCTTAACCGCCCGCCGGATCTCAACCAATTCAAACCTCCAGTATGTATAGATAGTTGTTAATATAATATGTTACCACTTATAGCATGTATATAATATAGAAAGATAGCTTTCGGTTGCTTTCGGTCGCCCACCATCTTTCGGCGTCCTTTTTCTTATTTTATTAAATTACATCATCATGATGTTTTGTATCCGAGCTCCTATATTATGGAGTCTCTATTTTGTTTCTGATATAGAGTTAATATAACAGAATTCTCTTTCAATATTACTCTCTCAACTCTCTCAATTGATGGCTTGAATTTATCTTTGTATTCAATGAGTTTGGGTAAATACATATATATTGTGATGTTCCAATTTGATATAAGAATTTTGGGATTATTTTACTATTTCACCACAATTTGGTTCATTAATTAATATGGAACTTTTCATGAATGGGGCTGGTAGCTTGTTGATTAAATGAATATTAACTGCCCTTATTCTCAATGGTTTTGGAAAATTATGTGCAATTGGAAACCAATTTTCTATTCAAGTAGTGCATTTGAATCACTCGCAAGTGTGCTCAAACTCAAACAGATACAAAGTGTGATCAAACTACTTGAGAGAGAGAGAGAGAGAGAGAGAGAGAGAGAGAATGTGATCTAACTAGAAAAACTGTAGTTCAATGTCCATCTAAGTGTCTGTCTTCGTTTGTTTAGATGTGAATGCAAAGGTTAACTTACAGAATTGAGGCTTGCCATTTTCAAGGATACGCTATAGTGACAAATTTTTCATTATTGTTTTTTCTTAATATGAATAGTTCAATATATGCATCGTCATAAAAAGAAGTAATATCAACCTTATTGGTGATTTTAGGTGCTTGGAAGAACAGCTAAAAGGAAGAAATTGCTCTCACCAAAGGGCATGGATGTACGCCCAATAATGGAAGTTGTAAAAGGTGCAGCCTATGACATTTTGCAGGTAAAAGATATCTTATTCTTCAAATGTTGTCCTCTAGTTCTAGAAATAAGATGATACTTCAATTTCTTTGTCTGCAATTAACGTTATGTAGATGCTATTTTGATATACTTATAATGTTGTTTTATTAAGGCGGCCAGTGGTTGTCCTACATCTTTAAGGCCTGGTCGTTGGTTAGACTTGTATAGCGGCACAGGATCTGTTGGATGGCTCGTCGCTCGACGATTTCTATCGGGCACAACTTTTGATGAAGTGGGAGCGTCTTTTGAGGGCGCAACTTTTGAGGGCTCGATATATATACATGTATATCTTTTGGGCAGCCTATATTCACAATCATATAGTGTATTTTTTACATCGGTCTGGCATGACCCCATAAACTGTCCCGACATTGATTCCGGTTAGCTTCTCCAACAGTCTGACACGACCACACAGTGTCTGCTACATCGGTCTGGCATGACCCCATAAACTGTCCCGACATTGATTCCGGTTAGCTTCTACATCGGTCCGACATGACCTCGTAAACTGTCCCGACATTGATTCCGGTTAGCTGCTACAACGGTTCGACACGACCATACAGTGTCTTCTATACCGGTCCGACACGAGCCATACAGTGTCTTCTACACCGGTCTGCTACAACCATACAATGTCTTCCACACCGGTCTGACACGACCATACAGTGTCTCCTATCCACTTTTATTTGTCAGTTTATTTTCTTGTTTTGTTACTCTCTCCAAACTCAAGTTGGTTAGTGCCTATCCTCCTTGAGTTTGAGGGGGGCTGTTAGTATATATTAGTATATATATTAGCTGTCAAACCTTTAATAATGTACCTTTAATGATGTTGGTTGGTTTGTGTCTATCCTCCTTGAGTTTGAGGGGGGCTGTTAGTGTATTATAGTGTTAGTGTAATATATAGCTGTCATACTAATGATGTTGTATTTATGCTTTCGGTGGGTTAGCATCCAATGTACCATATTTACTCTCTATAAATGAGAGTGTTGTAAGACACAACATATATCAATCATAATACATACAATTTATTCTCTCTCTATCAATTTATCTTACTTTGAAAAAAAAAATGATAGAAATGGGTTTTTTTTTTTTTTTTGTCGGTTGTGGTGTAAAATTGTGATCGGGGTTGATCCCGGCATGAAAAAAGGAGTTTTTTTTTTTTTTTGGGTTTAATAAGAATAATAATAATAATAATAATATATTAATGGCGAAAGCATGTGCCTGGTGGGTTGGAAAGTGAAAAAATGAGAGAGAGAGTGTGGGGTACATGATGATGATGATAATAATAATAAAACAAATAAGAATAATAATAATAATATATTAATGGCGAAAGCATGTGCTTGGTGGGTTGGAAAGTGAAAAAATGAGAGAGAGAGAGAGAGTGGGGTACATGATGATAATGATGATAACGATGATGATCGTGTATGTTGCTCTCCCACTTCTCCCTAACCCAAAATTTCCGAGAGACCCAATGACCACATGCATGTGTGGGTGTTATCTTCTTTTTTTTTTTTCTTTTATTTATTTATTTATTTATTCTTCCAAAACTGAAGAGAGAGGGATGTCGTGCATGTGTGTGTATAGGTGTGTGGGTGTGTGTGTGAGTCTTGTTGTGTATTGTAGTGTGTTCTTCCCTCCCTCAAAACCGTGTGTGCCAATGGTGTAGCAGTGTAGTGTGGGTCTCTTGAGTGTGTGTCCCCTCTCTCTCTAAACCGTGTGTGTGTGCCTTGTCTATGCCTGTGTGTCCATGTGTGTTGTAGTGTGTGAGAGAAAGCTGTATATGTGATGCATGGTCTGTGTATCAGGCTGTGTTGCAGTGATTATCAAAGCTTGTTGGAACAACAGTGATAGGAGAGGCTTGGGGTTGATGATTGAGCTGATGAGGATGTTCACGGTGGCAGATGCGGTGCTTCTGCGGCTGCTGTTGCAGTGATTATTGGTGGTGGTCGGAGTGTTGCTGGTAGTAGATGAGAAGATGGAGCAACCGAGGCGAGTGAGGAGGAGGAGATGACAGTGGCGCACTGGTGGCAGCAGAAATGGAGGGTGGTTGGAGGAATTGGACCTGCCACCGTCGCTGGGCGATGATGATGGAAGAAGGGTAGCTTCCGAAGCTACCGTTGCCGACTCGGGTGACGCTGATGGGTCTGTGAATTGATTGAGTGATGATCATGGTAGAGAGAGAGGCCGTGTATTTGAGAGAGAGAAACCAGAGAGATGAAAGAGATGAGAAAGATTAGTTTTGAGCCCGAGAGAGAGAGCAGAGGCAGCTTTGAACAGCTGCTGCCGCTGTGTGTGTGTGTGTGTTTCAGTGAGACTGCCTTGCCGGCCTCTCTCGAGACTGCCTTGCCTTCTGGTGTGTCCCATGCCCCTGCTCACTCTGATGGTCCTGCTCTTGCTTCCTCGGGATCCTCCCCTCCTGGTGAGTCTCTCCCTCTGGCTCCTCCTGCCTCTACTCGACCACACCGGGTAACCCAACCTTCTACTCGTCTTCGTGACTTTATTGTTGGTTCTACTGCTTTTTCCACTTATGAACCGACCTCCTATCGTGAGGCTCGCTCTAATCCTCTTTGGCAGCAAGCTATGACTGATGAATTGCAGGCTTTAGACAAAACTCACACTTGGGACATTGTTGATCTTCCTCCTGGCAAGACTGCCATTGGTTGCAAATGGGTCTACAAAATCAAAACTTGTTCTGGTGGATCTATTGAGCGCTACAATGCCCGCCTTGTTGCAAAAGGCTTCAACCAAGAATATGGTATTGACTATGAAGAGACGTTTGCTCCTGTTGCTCGTCTCACCTCTGTTCGCAGCCTGATTGCGGTTGCTACCTCCCGACACTGGGATCTTTATCAAATGGACGTGAAAAATGCTTTCCTTAATGGTGTTCTTCTTGAGGAGGTCTACATGCAACCTCCCCCTGGGTCTACTTATCCCCCTCATAAAGTCTGCAAACTTCAGCGTGCTCTATATGGTCTCAAACAAGCTCCGCGCGCTTGGTTTGCCAAGTTCAGCTCGACTATTCATGACTGTGGTTTCACCCCCAGTTCTTATGATACTGCTCTTTTTATCCGCAAAACTGCTCAAGGGACCACCTTACTTCTCTTTTATGTGGATGATATGATTATCACCGGTGACGATCTTGATGGTATTGTATGCCTTAAACAGTTTCTTAGCCATCATTTCGAGATGAAAGACCTTGGTCCTCTCAGCTATTTCTTGGGTCTTGAAATCTTCCATGATTCCACGGGGTCTTTTCTCTCTCAGGCTAAGTATACCTCTGATCTTCTCACCCGCGCTGGTCTTACGGATTGCAAGACTGCCTCCACTCCTCTGGAGCCTCAGAGTCGTCTTACACCTCTTGATGGCAGTCTTTTCTCTGATGCTACCCTATATCGTCAGCTGGTTGGCAGCCTTGTCTATCTCACTGTTACTCGTCCTGATATTGCCTATGCCATTCATATTGTCAGCCAGTTTATGTCAGCTCCTCGTACCCCTCATTATGCCACATTAGTTCGTATCCTTCGTTATCTCAAAGGTACCTTGTTTCATGGACTTCATTATTCCGCCAACTCCTCTCTCCAGTTTCGTGCCTTTTCCGATGCTGATTGGGCTAGGGATCCTACTGACCGGCGCTCTACTACCGGGTTCTGCTTTTTCTTGGGTGATTCTCTTATTTCTTGGCGCAGCAAGAAACAATCTCTTACTGCTCGCTCCAGTACCGAGGCTGAATATCGTGCTCTTGCTGATACTACTCAGGAACTTCTCTGGCTTCGTTGGCTTCTTGCTGACATGGGTATTTCCCCCTCTGGCGCTACTGCCCTCTTTTGTGACAATCAAAGTGCTCTTCAAATTGCTCACAATGATGTTTTTCATGATCGCACCAAGCACATTGAGATTGACTGTCATTTTATTCGTCAACACGTCACTCATGGTACTGTCCATCTCCATCCAATCTCCTCTACTGATCAACCTGCTGATATCTTCACCAAAGCCCATTCTCCTGGTCGCTTCGTTGAACTTGTCTCCAAACTCAAGTTGGTTGATGTTTGTCCTGCTTGAGTTTGCGGGGGGCTGTTAACATATGCATATAATACTATATATGATAGTATATGAATATAATTGTTAAATACTATATATGATAGTATGTATAGATAGTTGTTAATATAATATGTTACCACTTATAGCATGTATATAATATAGAAAGATAGCTTTCGGTTGCTTTCGGTCGCCCACCATCTTTCGGCGTCCTTTTTCTTATTTTATTAAATTACATCATCATGATGTTTTGTATCCGAGCTCCTATATTATGGAGTCTCTATTTTGTTTCTGATATAGAGTTAATATAACAGAATTCTCTTTCAATATTACTCTCTCAACTCTCTCAATTGATGGCTTGAATTTATCTTTGTATTCAATGAGTTTGGGTAAATACATATACATTGTGATGTTCCAATTTGATATAAGAATTTTGGGATTATTTTACTATTTCACCACAATTTGGTTCATTAATTAATATGGAACTTTTCATGGATGGAACTGGTAGCTTGTTGATTAAATGAATATTAACTGCCCTTATTCTCAATGGTTTTGGAAAATTATGCGCAATTGGAAACCAATTTTCTATTCAAGTAGTGCATTTGAATCACTCGCAAGTGTGCTCAAACTCAAACAGATACAAAGTGTGATCAAACTACTTGAGAGAGAGAGAGAGAGAGAATGTGATCTAACTAGAAAAACTGTAGTTCAATGTCCATCTAAGTGTCTGTCTTCGTTTGTTTAGATGTGAATGCAAAGGTTAACTTACAGAATTGAGGCTTGCCATTTTCAAGGATACGCTATAGTGACAAATTTTTCATTATTGTTTTTTCTTAATATGAATAGTTCAATATATGCATCGTCATAAAAAGAAGTAATATCAACCTTATTGGTGATTTTAGGTGCTTGGAAGAACAGCTAAAAGGAAGAAATTGCTCTCACCAAAGGGCATGGATGTACGCCCAATAATGGAAGTTGTAAAAGGTGCAGCCTATGACATTTTGCAGGTAAAAGATATCTTATTCTTCAAATGTTGTCCTCTAGTTCTAGAAATAAGATGATACTTCAATTTCTTTGTCTGCAATTAACGTTATGTAGATGCTATTTTGATATACTTATAATGTTGTTTTATTAAGGCGGCCAGTGGTTGTCCTACATCT